CTAATTTACTCATGTAGTAATTACCCATGATACATGAGTAAACAATACAGAAAGACAATGCAATTTCCAATGACCATCACAAAAATGAGCACATTAAGGCTACCAGTTCCTATATGTGCATGGGGCCACAGCTCTGCAACATCTCCCTTCAGATGCAAACGACTCAGTTGTGGGACAACCCAACCAACACACGCCCAGGCTCACTAGCCATGCAGAGGGCTCAACAACACTGCCCACCTCATCAGCCAACAGAGAAACGAGGTGAAGCTGCCTCAACACAGAGCCTTGTTAATGCAGCTGAACAGCCTCTGGCACCTAAGTGCCTGGTTCAACATCCCAGCTCCCCTCGGGCAGCCCCATCTTGCGCCGGGAAGATGTGGCCAGCGTTTGGGCAGCGCAAGCGATGCAGCTCAGCCTGTAACACCATGGACCTCAGAGCACACCAGGCAGGACAGTGAAGTTCCTGTGACAAAACGGCACCCAGGACCCAATCATAGTCTGACTCTGTTGAATCTCCAGGCTCCACAAATTTCAATTATGCCGTAGGTCATTACTGTGGAAATAATGCTGGAAGCCCTCAAGTGTTTCTAATAGCCTGTATATATTCCTATACTATACAAAACGCAATCATCAATACTGGCATAATCTGCAGCATCTACAAATAACTATTGTCATATACTAGTAAGCAACCTAGAAGCAACTAGTTTTTTCCCTTTCCTTCAACTTATCCATCTCTCATAACAGCGTAAGACTGCCAGAGGAAGTTGGCTAACTTCAACATATTTCTCATTGTTCCTATTGATCTCATCCTTCAAGCCCACATTCTCTAACTCTATAGTTCCATCATATAGTTTCTTAGACTGGGAAACCAAAGTTGCCTAGCTCAGAATACAAATATGAACTTGTATTTCCCATATTCCAAATCAGAGGCCTAATAGGGTTGTTAGATACATTACAGTATGTCTCATGCATGTTTTAAACACTTTTTAAATCCCTAAATTTTATTCTGCATCAAATGGACGAACATGTTTGAAACAACAGAAATTCTTACAGTGCAATTTTCTCGGGTTTTTGCCCAGCCTTGGAAACTATTTGTCAAATACATCTGAGAGTCTAGACCATAATAAAAGGAGCTTGATTATTACCAACCCAAGCTTAAATAGTTGTCAAGACAACAGCATGAATATCATCATTAACAGAAATTGCTATCAAACTAAAAATCAAAGTTATAGCCTCAGTTCCATGTCCATATTAGCCATGCAAGTATGTGAATGCAAAAGGAACAATTTCAAGTGAACTTTGGTGCCTTCTTATACTGATCCAAACAGGTGAGGAAATCTGATGAAATGCATTTAAACCTTTGTTTAGTGACAACAAGTCTATCCACAAACACTCAGCTTTAATTTCCACTTGCAAAGCCCTCACACACTTACTCAATGTTCACAAGACAAATCATAGGTGTATTTACCTACAAGTAAGATCCATTCATACATTTAACACCTCCACCAGTCATTACCCAAGCGCTCACTGCCAAAAGCCACTTCATTCCCGGCAGTAAGGAAACAAATGTACGGCCTGTTTCACAAGGTGTTAAATACTGCGGCTTTGCTTCCGTGACACAGAGCTCATGGCACAGTTCAGGCAACCCTACAGCACCTTGCTAACACTGTCCCAAAGCACCAGGCCAACCCTTCAGACGCAGCATAAGAGGCTGAGCATGCTGGGGCTGCTGACTCTGGAAGCCAACAGAGTATAAACACATAGTAGGAGAAAGTAACATTCATCTGGGTGGTTTGGATCCAGTAAAGGGAAAAGAGGCCATGGGCACATAAGTTTTAGCTATTAGGATGGTCAACTGCAAGAACTGGTTGCCCAGGCAGGTTGTGCTCCACTCTTCATCTGCAGAGATAGACCAAATACACTGGAAGGGACCATGAGCAACAAGCTCTATTGGAGCATGCTTTGGGCAAGAGCATTGGGCCAGACACCTCCAGAGGCTGCTTCCAGCCTCAGTAAGTCCCAGTGCATGGCACTACAGATCACACCGCAAGCCTGGATGCGCCGAAAGGCCGTCTCTTCCTGACAGCTCGTGGCCACTGTGTTCCGAAATATATCCTTCACCTCACCATGCCCTATCACTCCCTAAGTCTTAATTTACATTTTATCATTAATATTAGCGATTGAGTTTGAATTTTCTCCATGCTTCTGCTAGAATTCAATTGTGTTGTTGAACAGCCTCTAAACTGCTCCACCTCCCCTTCCCGGGGTAGTTACCAACAAAGCCCCAAGGCTGTTCTTGCCAATATTCTTGTCAGGAAAAGGCCATAGCTACACAGTTAGTTGTACCACTTCTTCCTCAAATACTTACCTCCTCGAAGCAGACATACCAGCCTAAAAGCTCCTTTCAGTTTCTACTACGAAGCTGAAGCTTTACCAAAGAGCCTGATTTTTTTTTTCCTTTATGATATACTAAGAACAAACTGAGTCCTGTTCAACAAAAACTTAAAGATATTACTTAGGCAATCCCACTTTATAGGTATACCTACATTATTTTTCTGGGAAGTTAATACATGAATTACTAAATTACATTATAGTATATATATTCATAACATGCAAAGCAATAGCTTTTCCTTTTATAAAAGATTGGTTCAAAAAACCTAGCTTCTTGTTTACTTAAGCTTGGCAGCTAACACTGAAATAAAGTAAATCGACCATTTCGGATAAACTAACAAAATAAAAACCATAAAGCATTCAATTCAGTTATCTGCACTCAAAATTAAACCAAATTCTTGCAATACCACTCTATACCCTAAGTTACAGCAAACTACTATCTGCTTATCACATTCAGTATCTAGAATAATACACAAGCTAGAGGAAGTTCATATATTTTATGACTATTTCAATACTCTTTAGAAAGCTTATTTTGTGTATATATACATGCATGAACAAACATTTTTAATGCAATTCTTAGTTTGCATACATTAATTTAGTTCATGAAGACCCTTCACAACCCTTCTTGGGTATTAGGGTTTACCTAGAGCACAATGATACTCAGAGCCTAGGAAAATACTAAAACAAAATTGATTTTTTAAGATAAAGTTAAAACGAATGTGCCAAATGAGAGCACTGCAGAAAAATGTTCATTACATCTCATCTGGCAGAGCAGTAGCACCACTCTGGGAAATCACAGTTATTTTGGGCAGCCTGCCCACTCAAAGCTCATCCGAGATCCACACATATCTCCTTACCTATCCAGCTAAGGGGGCTTTCTGTTATTGCCATGCACTTTTGGTTTCAGTGCAACATGCAACTCTTCCACATGCTTTCCTCACCCAAAGGTGGCAGCTATCTCAATACTGCTGACAGCAAATTTTCATCTTCCTACACCTGGTCCAGAGGCCACTATAGCCATGAACTATTGAACTTCGAACATGTCAAAGTTGCATCATTAGAACTGTGAGACTCTTCCGCAGGGTTGCTGTAAGAGATACCTGACATTTGAAATGTCCAAGTTCTCCCATCACTACCAAACACTGATCACCAAAAAGCTACCAGCTCCAAGATTAAGATATTAATTGTGCAGTCCTGTGCCACAAAATGCCACCAACCTGCCTATGGCTGCCATGACAGGAGACCAGCAACTTCACATCCAAGTTGTTGAAATACTCCAAGTGGGTTTGTTTGTCAAATGTTCCCCAAATCGTTATTTTAAATAGTTTCTATTTACTGGCATTATGTAAAAATCTAACCAGGCGTGGCTGGCCACATCAGGAGAAACTCCAAAATATATAAAGGAAAGCCAATAAAAATGCAAGAAATCAAAAATTAGAAGGGTGGCTGCAATTATTTTTGCTGGTATTTGTGACACTAGTATTTGAAATGCTCAGGCAGGAATGAGTATGTTGCATAGATAATTTGAACTGATTTCAAAAGAGGCAGGCTGGCATCTCATGTCTGAATACCTCTGCAAACAGCTATTCCTAGCTGTGTTTATGAGACATAAGCATCATGAACATGACTGTAGATAAATTCACTCACTAGCATCCATAAATTAAGGGATAACAAACACAAAGCAAATGGATGTAACTAATTTTTCAACAAGACCCCCAATATTTGTATTTTATTTTCTGGGGAGGAGTGGGGAGGACTGCCAATCTTTAGTGCACTTGCCCAAATCACTGAAGTTACTCTGCGAGCAGATGAATTATAGCAATACGTGCCTCATTAAATTTTACTCTCCAGTTCTGAAAACCTTTAAAAGCAGAGGCTAGGCTCACTTTCAGATGCACAGATAATATAATTAACATTCTTCCTTAATTTATGCGGTGGGTTATATTTGCCAGCTTTCATCACAGTGATCGGGACCGCACTTGAGGCACCACAGCCACCGAGGTTCCCGACCACTGCAAACGGATGCTCTACTACCTGAGCAAGCATGGTAGAAGATGCAGGTATGGAGTAATTTTGACCTCCTTTACTAAGCATTAAGTATAATGATATGAATGTATTAAGTAAAATATACGTATCTACAATATATCAAGTATTGGATATATGTTAATACATCATTAGCAAAACCAAAAATCATGTAAATAGTGATAAAATCAGAGTATAGAGGCCACTAACCACATAAAAATCAAAGCCAATTTAGGTGCAAACACAGGTTTGTTCAAACAGCATTGTACAATTTCTTTAACACTTGCAGAATTTAGATGAACAATATTTTCCTTCATTCACAGCTTAGTATAAATATACAACAAGGCACCCCTTAAGCATTTTAAATAACAAATTAAACATTTACGGTTTTTACTGTGCAGTCAGGCTTAACGTTTATGCAGCTTCAAAACCAAAGTACAGCCTCAAGGGAAGCCTCTCCACTGACAAATTAATACCTTGGAGACTGGAGCTGAATGGTGGCAATGAACTCATTTGTTCCCCCAATAATGAAGAATGACTCTTTCTTCACCACATCTGTGACGGTTGCTATGGGGACCCAGACTTACCTCACTGCTTCGCGAAGGGCTCCGCGCTCGCCCAGCGTCGTGGGCTTGATGTCATCAAAATTATTCTCCAGTTTCTCGCAGTTCTGCAACGAAGGGCACAAGGCATGTCAGGCTGCATGCACGGGCACGGCGCTCGGCGGCGCGCCACCCAAACCCAGCCACGCGGCTCGCAAATTAGGCGTTCTGTTTTAATTGCACCGGAGTCATTAAAAGACACCGAGAACTCAGAAACAAAGTAAATATGAATCTTATTACATGGTTGTCATGGAAATCATCTTAGAAATGTGCCATAATGAAACTACGGATTTTTTACTTAATTTTGTTGCTTTTTTGAAAGCAAAATATCTTTCCTTTATCAACAAGCTCACAAAGCTATATATATATATATATGTATAGAGACGCACACACATGCAGAGTAGCTAAGCGCTACATAAACTACCTGCACAAAATGAGTGTCCAGTGCCACCAAACAAGAATACTCTGACCACCAGCATCATTCTAAAGACTTGGTATTCTCTTGAGGCTTCTCTAATACATGAGACAGATACCCCTGTTTTCTGTAGCACCTTTTTCCAATCCCAAATCTTACCTCTGGGAGGCATAATTTTGCCATATGGCTTTAAAAGAAGCATTAAGTTTTAAGTGCAATAGTTATTACAGCTAACAAGCTTGAACACAGGATTGTCAGGCTCTTTATGCAACATCTTTGAACAAAAGTCATGTGAACTATTATTTGTTTACACGTTTTTTAATATGTGAACTAATTTTCAAGCCCACATCCTAAAGGCAGTTAAAAATGCAATACCTATTGTCATTTCTTCTGTGCATGGATTTATTTTCATAATGACATTCAATTAGAGACTACAAAAGCATTATTGAAACAGATCAGATATTTGAAAATGACCTAGTATTTTCAGCTTGCCCTTAATTAAATTAGCATTACTTTAAAATAAAATTATAGATATTTTAATGCACTACTTAACACTTTAATAGATTTTCGAGCAAGAGAAGCAAGCAACAATTCTACATTTGGAACTTTTGCAACCTTCTTGCCCTTAAAAAATTATGCAAGTAGTGGGTCTTATCCCAAGGGTAATCTGATTTTTCTTTGTTTGTATTACAATCAACTGTCCTTTGTATGACAAAATCCTACTCAAACTCAAAGGGATTACCCAAGTAAGACAGGAAAGCCCTATGATGAAATATTCCATTATTTAGACCTGTATGCATTGACCTTCAGCTCTAAGCACGTGCAGACAGGTCATTCATCTAAAATACACATAAGAGAACCAAACTGATAATACTAACAAAATCAAGAATTCTTGATTCATCAATGTACTATCTATGCACTAGAATACACTATCTATGTAACCAAAATGAAACCTCCAATCTGACAGGAAAACAGACTGAAGGAAACACTACTTGGAATATTGCTCTGAGCCCTGAAAGAGGAAAACAAGTTTAATAGCCCTGTGCCACTAGCACCTAAACAGTGCACAGGAAGACATGAGTATAATGCAGCTCATTCCTCTTGATCTCATGGTATAAGGCATGGAGAGAACAAGGAGGATCTGCAGCCCATAAGATTTTATCAGTCAGAACCAAATCTTTCCTGTATCACACAAGCTAGAACAACTCATGGTCCCTACATGAAAAATGCTGAAATTAAGAGAAAAAAATCCATTTTGCTGATACTTCCTCTTTATAGACCATAAGATGTTAACCAGCTGAGGGCAGCAAACATGACCCCTGACTGAAGAAAATACTGTAATCATGTAGCCCTACACAGATAAAATACTGCTTTCTCAACTGCAGGGCCAATGTGGAAACAAATAGGTAACCCAGAGTAAACAGAGCAAATATTACAGACTCAATAATAAACATTATATCAAGATAATGAATTTACTTTTACCATTTCTGCCAACCACTTCTAGACACTCTCACATCTACCTTTCTCAATTTCTTTCCACCAAATAGCTCTCATCTAAAATACAACAGTTGGTGAGCCAGTAACTTCACTATAAAGTAAAAATAAAAAACTGAGCTGGATGCAAACCACTGAAGGCAGAAGAGCTCATAGTCCTCTGTCATCACTTACTGAATACATGCCGAGCTGGGGAAGGAGCAAAGGTTGAATACACCTACATCTTCCCAGTTAGAGCTGCAATGATCCAAAACAATATACTGCATCCTCTCGCAGAAGAGAGCAGGAGCTTGAAAGAGCAAATTTAAACACATTTTTAAAGGTCGATAGATACCCCTTCTTGATGGATATGAGTATCAGCTTTATACTATTTTTTAGAACCTCTGAAAGGGTATTAGGAATAGCTACCCATGTGAAGTCTTCCAAATCACACTGCAAACCCATCCAAATGGCTGATTTAAAAGAACACGCACACACACCATGAGCAAAGTTAGTAAAAGAATACTCTGGAGAATGCAACTACTAAATGACGACACTTTGATAGACCATGACCAAGACAAACTACACATTCAAAGGCACAAAAATCAGTAGCAAAAAAATGAGTTCATTCCACTATCTCTGCTGCTAGCTAGATTAATATCTATAGCCACCCTGAACAGGACATTGTGCTTTTGGCCACAATACTTCATAGGTTTAAACATAATGAGCAATTAAACTCATTAGGTTTTAGCAGCAATTATAGTAAAGAAAAATGAAAATACAATCAATAAAAAATTGGTTTTGGTGGCTTGCTGCCAAATCATTTCCTGTGAATATAGATAAGGTCTAAAAGTTTCAACTTCATGATTGAATAATCATATAGCATTCTATATATTATTGCTAAACCAAGCATCATCTTTAAGAAGCTTAGAATGAAAAATTAAATATATTTAGATATGATTAGGAACATGGACATAAGTAAAACTACTGCTGACTGTGCTGTCAAAAAACACAGAAGTCTAAATTCTGTTTCTTAAACATCTCTAGCATAAATACTTTGAGAGGCTTTTAAATGATCCAAAAAATGAGTAGGGAATTGTCTGGATGCATAAATGGTTCACTTTTCACCTATGAGACCTGAACTAAAACTACATGGTGACTAGATAAAAGGACAATGTAGAACTGAGGTTCACCAGTACTTGTGGCATCACACACAACAGTGATAGAACATCTAATAGGGGACACACAAATATTAGGAAGGAACAAATGAACAAATTGAAAAGCTTTACTTCCAATAGCTGCAAAAAAAATTTCTCTTTTCCTTAATGCAAGCTATTCATTTTCCAAATAATCTGCAAGCTTCAGGGGCAAAGATTGTATACTCTTAAATCTATGTTTCCACCAGACATGACAAGCAATATCCTCTTGACATTATACATATTAATATATAACCTGTATCTAAAAGTCTGAGCAATAACAGCAAGTCCAAACTACTTTCAGTCTTAATTTCAGTTGAAGTAACAAGCTAGGTCACCTAATACATAAGAATCACCCAAATTTAATATAAAAATCTTTGGATTCTGACAGAAGATAACTTGCACTTTTTAGAACATGCATCTCAAAATGCATCAGCTTAGCTAGCTTTCTTCCATGTTTGTCCTGGATGCAAAAATCCCCCTTTTCTTTAATTAGCCATTACAACAGCATTTCTTGATGTGGACTCCCAGGTAAAATGCAGAACTCCCCAGAACAGCTGAGGGAGCACAAGCAAACCGCCTGCTGCCCAGCAGCACCACGGGGATCTCCGCAGAGCCGAGCGCTGCCCGGCCTGCCCGCGGGCCCGGCCGGGGCACCCCGGGGCGCCGCCTCGCCTGAGGCCTGAGGCGCAGCACGGAGACGCGAGCCCGTCCCGCTGCTGCTGCTGGAATCTGTCACAGACAAACGAGGGGGGATCACGCTCAGCCATATCAGCTATCTTAACTCCATCCTGAGTACTTTACATAAGACTTTCCAAAGTGTTAGTATTACTGATAAGGTCTTACATACATTTCTCAGAAGCCAAAAAATAAAATCTTTTGATCTGACAAGAGCGTAAGACCTATTCTAAGGCAGCGTGTATCACCAAAGTTGAGTAGATCTCTTATCCTACTTGATAAGCTGCCAAGTCAAAAGCCTTACTTAAAAATATCCTCTCTTTCTCTCCTGTGAAAGCTTTAGGTAAGTGGGGCTGCTCTATTCTTGCAATTCTTTGCAATACTCAATTATTTTCTTAGGAATCTTAAGTTTTCTTCAAACATCTGTGAAAGCAAATCTCTATTATTAGTAAGCAATGTTCTCTGTGTATCAATCTTAAGGAGCATACAGCAATTTCCAACTTAAAAACAGTTGGAACAGTTCTCACCTATTAGGCTTGTGCTTACTGTTGGTGTTAATGCTAAAAATTACTTTTCACCTCTTTAAGGCATATACTTGATTATAGACTTTGTTTTTCTCTTGAGGATTTCCCTTTTCTTATCTCTAAGTATTTTAGTAAAACCTCAAATCACTTGCCAACTTTGTTTATTCATGCCTACCTGGCATGTTCCATGACTGAAATAGACATTTCCAGGCCACTAGCATCATCTATTTAGTGTCAATTTTGTACTGCAAGAAAATCAAACTCTATTGTGGCAAATGAGAAACAAATGAACAAAATGGAAATCTAAGTTCCCAAAGATATGCACATCTCCAAATGTTGCCTGGCTTTCTAAGATGCCGACATAAGACTGCTGCTGCAGCTGTTGCTATCCCAGGAACAATGTTCATGCAAGATATCACCCAATTATACACAGGCAAGAGCAGTCATTTGCATATCAGTTCTCAGATATATTTCATTGAGTATATTTTTATATCAATTCTCATTAATGACTATCTTCATTCCTTGAAAACACTTTCTTCAGAGAACATCTACTACTGGAGACAAACAAGGCTATTTGCCAATGTAGATTTGGAAAATGGAGTCCAGTTGAATATGGTGTCAACAATCAAACAGATGTTGAAAAAAAATCAAGTGACATGTAAAGAGAAGTCCCTATGATGATTAAAGCCAGAAATCAACATGCCTTAGAGAGAACATGATTTAAAGAGCTACCTACTGAAATAGCAGACAAAAAAAAAAATCAAGGAAAGATTTGATCATAC